CCACGAGTGGTGAAGGCCGGCGGTTGGAACGGGGTAGGCTAGGGGCGTGCGTGAGGAAGAAAAGATGCGGGGGGTTGAAGATGCACAACATTGATCTGTTTGAGGTCATTTGATCAAGATCTAGTGATTCATGAGAAAAGTGACTAATGCGCGGAGCGTTTTCAGGTACCTAGCATAAACTTAGTGGGGGGGGGGATTTGTAGCACGCGCCGCTTTTTATTTTGGTTTTCGATTTCAAAGTTTTATACCTTTCAAACGGGAATTCTAAATTATGTTTTGTTTTCATGTTTGTGTTCCTTATGACTAGCGCTTTCAAATAATATTCATTTAAATATATTTTGATGACTTAAAAGAAACAAGTTAAGTTTCAATGTTGGACCGACCGATAAAAATCAATTGTTTTGTGTCTACGACCGACAGAAAAAATTGCTTTAAATTATATCAATGAAACAGGTTGAAACTTGACAGTTTTAGATGCAAAACCTTCAAACTTTTTGAGGGATTTATATTTTTATTGTACCTTCATGCATAATTGAGTTACTGTGTGAATCGCGAGGCAAAAACGAGCGGGCGGCAGGACTTGACAGGTGAGCGCCCCCGCACTCGTGTGCCCCTACACATTGTTGGAAATATTGCTGGAAGTGTGAGAAATTTACCGAATGATTTTATTAACAGAAATACTAGATAAAGCATGACTAGTATAGCAGTGATAAAACAAGCCATGCGATTTGACAAAGAGAAGATAAACGTCTTCATATATGAATTGCAACTAAACATATCTAGAGCAGACAGTATAGCAAGTTGCATATATGAAATAGAGCCTAACATATGTAGGGCAAACAGTAGACAAAGAAATTGTAGCAGGGCCTCTAATAGAAAGAGGAAGAACACGTACGGGACAACAGCAGCAGAAGTGCTGGACTTGGGGTTAGTGTCCTTGCCAGCCATGTCGTCGAGGAGGTCGTCGATGTCGGACAAGAAGTCGTCGTCGGAGTCCGGGGCGTCCGTGATGAAGAAGTCAGTAGTCGCGCGAAGTGCTCCCCAAAAACCTTATCACCCTTCTCCCATACATGACTCAAAAGATGCGGTTTCCGAGGTCTACTATCCCGACCTGCAGTGCACGCCGCAAGCCGGGATGGGGAAGATCGGAGCAGTAGCTCAGTGGTCAGGAACATGGAGGCGAGAGGGTTGTGTTGTTCTGGTGCGTCTCTCTGGGAGGAGTGGCCTCCCTTTTATAGGCGCAAGAGAAGAAGGCGAGAGGGCAATGCCGGAGATGAAACGAAGAGAGGGAGGCGAAGCGAACATGCAACAGACAAAGAGGTGCACCATTCATATTCAATCTCCATTTCAAAAAAACGTTTCAGCTCCCGTGTGACCGTTCGTATACCCGTTGTGCGTGGCAAAAAATTAGACATCGGCTCATTCTCGCAACCCGCGTCATGACGAGGCGAGGCGAGGCGGGCGGAGGAGGAGGAGCGCGCGTGGATGTCCCTCTTATTCTCATGATCATACATGTGGGGAAAAAACCTCCCTTATAAAGAGGTCCAACTCCCTCTAAACTAGTGATGTGGGACTAAACTTTAGTAGTGCCCCTTGCCTTGCACGAATGGGCTAAGTGGGCCTCTAGGATTAATTAGAAATTTTTGAAATTGTTATTGGGCTGGCCCATAAAATATAAAATTCCAGCAATCCCCCACCAGATCCTAGAGGCACATAGAATTTGCCTTTAATTCCAAAACACTGTTTTATATACCGATACTGCAGTGGAGACTGTTAAGTTGAATTTCCACCTAGAACTCTATGCTACACTAGTAAGCAACTTGAACAGTGGACTGGGCCTTGAACTGCAAGTTTTCTATGAATCGAGCTTCACACAAAGCCTTGATCGATACTTGGCTACCGTGGGTCTTCCCCGCGGGTGGAGCTTATGCGTCATACTCCGAGACCT